AGTGCACCTGTGTCATGCAATGCCCGCAGAGGACAGCAGAGGACAGCAGAGGCTGTCCAATCCCCTGGAACTGGAGTTATGGACAGTTGTTAGCTGCCAATGGGTGCTGGGATTTGAACCTGGGTCTTCTGCAAGAACAGTCAGTGTTCTTAACCGCTGAGCCATCTCTCCAGCCCCCGATTTTGAAAGCTCTTAAAACCATTATTCTGATTGGGCATGGCTAGTCAGGCCTGTAATCCTAGCACTTGGCAGGCTAAGGCAGGAGGATCACCATGAGTTCAAAACCAGCACACACTACAGAGTGAGAATTTGTCTCTAGTAATAATAATGATGATGATAATAATAATAATAGGGGTTGGAGAGATGACTCAGAGGCTGAGAGTAGGTGCTGCTCTTTCAGGAGCAAATCAGGAGGCTCACCCACAGCCTGTTACTTCAGCTCCAGGGGATCCAATGCCCTCTTCTGGCCTCTGTGGGCACTGAACTCCCATTCACACATAATTTTTAAAAAACAAAATAAATACTGTTTTATACAGAAAAACTCATTTTTAATGCAACTAACACTTAGATGTTTGCACATGCATCTCTAATCTCTATATATCTGATTATTACTAGTCACAGTCGGTTACCTTCTGAGGTCCTTGGCACCTGAGCATGGATATCATCAGGTAGAATTCAATGGTAATGTTTTTCACATCTATTAATTAACATGAAGCAAATTTTTAGGCTTCTTCCTCAAATATAACTCATTTTTTATATTTATTGATTTTGTGTGTGTGTTTCATAGGGTTTATATTGAATACAATATTGTATAACTGTATTAATTCAACTGTAAACCTAAAAATTTACAGCCAATCTTGAAAGAGATGCATCTTAGCTCTGGAAATTGTTATTGAATATGTCAATGCTGTTGTAATGAAATGCTTCTTCTAATTATGTGGCTATTAAATAAATAATTTAAAAAAACAAAATAAGGGGCCAGAGAAATGGCTCAGTGGTTAAGAGCACTGACTATCCTTGCAGAGGACCTGGGTTTGATTCCCAGCATCCACATGGCAGCTATAAACTGTCCTTAACTGCAGTTCCAGGGGAATCTGAAGCCCTCTTCTGACCTCAGCGGCATTGCACAACACAGGTGCACTCACATACATGCAGGCAATACACTCATACAGATAAAATAAAAATAGTAAACTATTGAAAAAAAAAAACAAGGCTGAACATGGTGGCACACCCCTTTAATCCCAGCACTCGGGAGGCAGAGGCAGGCAGATCTCTGTAAGTTCAAGGCCAGTCTACAAAGGGAGTTCCAGGCCAGGACAATAAATAAATAAATAAATAAATAAATAAATAAATAAATAAATAAATGGCTGTTTTAAGTGTTTCACATCTCGAGGACAGTGTTTGGCTAACTTTGGCCCACTGACCAAATCCTGCTTGCTGCCTGTTTGGTAAATAAAATTTTATTGGTGTATAGGTATACCCATTTTTTTTTTTCATTATTGTCTATAGCAACTTTTGTATTACAGTAGCAAACTTGAGTGATTGCAACAGAGATATGTGACTCACAAAACCCAAAATATTTACTATTTGGACCTTTGCAGGATTTGCTAATCTCTGCTCAAGGCAAAAATCACATAATCTGCTTTAGCAATCACTGAAGATTAATATATGTTGCATGCCTTAGGACTGAGGGGTGAAGAGGTTAATATAAACCAGGAATTAGGACTCCAGCCACAATAGGAGAAGAAATAGTTCAAATCAGAAGCCTCATCTGTCACCCTAAGAAATCAGAAAGAGAACAAACTCAACTAAAGAGAGCAGAGATGGCTGGTGGGTGAGGTTGCTTGGCAGGTCAAAGCACTTGCCACACAAGCTTGATGACCTGGAATCTGGAACCCAGCAGATGGAAAGAACCGACTCCTGAAAGTTGTGTTCTGATCTCTAACACACAAGCCTTGAAGAAGGGAGGGATGAAGAGGAGGGGAGGAGGAGAGGAGAGAAGAGGAGAAGAGAGGAGGAAGGGCAAGATAGAAAGAGAGGGAAGAGGAAGCAGAGGAGAAGGAGAGAGAACTTAGAGTAGATGAAACAGAAACCAAAGATGAACAAAATCGAAAGTTGTTTGCCATGAGAGTGGAAAGGAGGGGACAGGCAGGGTGGTGGGGGTGGAAGGACATGAGGAAGGCAGGAGAATGAAGGAGAATCAACAAAAATAAATTTTGTGTGAAAGTGCCATAGTGAACCCTAATACTTTGTAAGCTACTTAAATAAATAAAAATTGTTTGCTGAAGCTGGGTGTGGTGGTGCACTTGGGAGACAGAGGCAGGTGGATCTCTGTGAGGTCAACGTGGTCTACATAGCGAGTTCCAGACAGCTAGGGCTACAAGGAGACCCTGTCTCAAAAGATATATATATATATATATTAAAGCAAGGAATGAGGGGGCGCTATTACTAACAAACTTACAGAAAAACTGATAAACAACTGATATATCAGCACACTAAATAACCTGGATGAAATGGATAAATTGGTCAAAAGACAGAACCTACCTAATTCACAAACAGAAAACCAAGATACTGTGTAAGCAGAGATGATGCTAGCAATCAGAAAACTTCCAACAAAGAAAAACAGGGCTTCGGATGGCTGCACTGCTATGTTCTACCTAAGGTTTAAAGAATTAATGCCAACAGTTTACACATTTCCAAAGACTAGAAGAGGAGGGAATATCCCCCAAGTTAGTCCCTAAAGCCAGTGTTATCATCCTGACACTAAAACCAGACAAAGACATCTCAAGAAAGCTACAGTCTAGCATCCCTCAGAAGTATGTGTACAAAAATCCTCAGCAAAATTCTAACAAACCAAACTCAATCAAGTACATAAGGATTGGAGAGCAAGTACCACATCCTAGTCAGGGACTCCCCACTGGGAGAGCTCAGACAGCACAGAGGCCTGCCAGAGATGCTGACCATGGGAACTCCAGGCTGCTGACAGAGGCCCAGGTGGAAAGAAGGCAAAAGCGCAGGTGTCTGACCCGGTGGCTTCTCAGGCCACTGCTGTGGGCACTGAGAAAACCTTTGCATACTATTCCTTCTAATCAGCCCAACTAAGGATGAATTGGGAACCCAGTGTCCTCTCTTTATTGGAATGTTTTGCACTTGTCCCCATCTATGGCACCTGCTTCTAGAGGCATCTGTCTGCCCAGAGAGTAGGGAAAGTGCGGCCATCTATGTGTCCAGCTTGCAGCCTCTGTAGCTACAAGACAGCAGCAAAACATCTCGGTACAAACCCTCAGGACCATGACACCGGCTGGAGCCACTGCTCGCTCTTCCTGATGCTCACCACCCGAGGCCTTGCAGGCTTTGGACTTTTTTAGATTCTGTAATATTTGAATATGGATTGAGCTTCCTTATGTGAAAATCTAGTGTCAGAAATGCTCCAAAATCTGAAGTGCATTTATTTAGTGTTTCCTTATTGTCTGGGTTTGTTTTGGTTTGGGATATTCTGGGCTGTTTGTTTTGTTTTGTTGAGACAGGATCGCACTATAGCTCACAGGCTGATCTCCTATTCACCATCCTCCCTCTTTAATATCCCATGTGTTGGGATTGTAGGCATGTACCACAGTGCTCAGTTAAAAAATCTGAATTTCTTTTTACATTTTTTTGTGAGGAGGACTGGGTCTCACTCTCTAGCTCAATTTGGCCTTGAACAACAATTCCCCTGCCTCAGGCTTCAAGCGCTGGGACCACAGGCCATGTGCTACCACATTCTGTTTCCAAATCAGGCTGGCCCTGAATTCACAGAGATCAGCCTGCCTCTGCTTCTCAAGTGTTGGGATTAAAGGTATGGGCCACTATATTTGCCTGGTCCAAATCTGAAAGTTTTGAGCCCTGTTCAATATGATGCTCAAAATGTTTTGGACTTTGGACCATTATGGATTTTGGATTAAGAATGTTTACCCTATATTGTACTTAAATCTTTCTCCAGTAAAGGCAAGTATGTCTTAATGAGCAAGTAGGGATCCAGATGCAGCCCATGTACCTACCCTAAACACACCCACTCACACAAACACACACACACACACACACACATTCACATATACACATACCCCCCACATATACACACATACATTCACATATCCACACTCAGATGCACACACACTCACACACACTCACACATACTCACAGACACATTCATACACACCCCCACACACTTAACTCTATACTATTAGACAATCTGGTTTATGCTGATTTCCTGCCTCTGCTGCTTAAAATGAAAAGAAACAAACCCAGTGCTTTCTCTGGAGAGTTTCTTACACAAATTGTTATTATAGTTGTTCTTTCAACCACCCACCACACTTTGTTCTTCATAAAAGCTTTTATGTTCTAAGCTGTCTTACAAAGAGCCACTTCTGCCTGCACACTGTTTCCCCAGCATTAAGTCACTGTTCCCGCATTTTAGCTAATTAAGCCTTAGATAGGCTTTTGAATGTCTCCCTCCCCACTGGTTTTCTGCATGGTTTTGTCCACCCCACTGTGTGGCCTCCTCATTAGTATTCTCCTTCTCAGACTGAGTATATACACAAGGGCCGGAGCCTGTGTCAAAGCCACCCAAGCCATCAGACCTGTCAGAGCTCCAACTCCTCAAGGAAGGACTGCTTCTAGGAAAGGCCTCTGGCACACGCCCAATGCTGGCCCACAGCACAGCGTGCCAGGGCCACTGTCATGCACACCCCTCCTAAAAAGTCAGAGGGAGTGGTACTGGCCAGGGCTTGGTCCTGGGTCAAATTGGGAACCCATGAGGCTGAGGCGAGATAGTGCAGGAGCTCGGGGGTACAGGCTCTGGACCTGGCTTAGTTGTGCTAGCTCCTCCTCAGAACCAATTGTGCCCCTTTGTGAAGTGAGGCCCTTGTCAGCACCCTTGCCTCCCACTAGGTAGAATGAGGAAGTTAGAAGATGGCAGCAGAGAGAAGGAAGGGGCTGAGAGCTGGCTTATGCTGCGGCCTCACCTGTCCAAACACGTACAGAAGTCCGATGGTGCCTCCTGTCTGCCCGCCAAGGACTGAGGAGATCATGGAGTAGACTCCTCCACTGCCCACACCGCTGTGCTCCCCCACGCCAATGCCAGACAACACGGTGATCAGGGCCACTAGGATGACGAAGGACACCAGGAGCATACCCAGGAGCACACCTGTGTTTCCCTGCAGCAGAACAGGGAGGGGGTGAGGTCAGGATTAGGACAGGGGTCTCACCAGAGCAGCCCCCAATGGAAGCACTGAGTGACCCACAGGGTGGAGGAACCATAGAGGGGGCAAGGAGAAAAGGGACAGGAAGGAGCATGAGGGCTAAGGCCTAGGAGAAGGCCCAGAAACATAAAAACATTCTTACTTCAAACTCTAACAATTTCCTTTCACCTGTCAGCAAAGCCAGAGCCACTCAGACTCATGAGGAGCCTGCTATCTGTCACTCCGTGACCCGACATACAAGGATATGCTCTGTCCCTACCACCCTTTCATCCCCCTGCCTGGAATGCAGTTTCTGTTCATTCTGCTGGATTGTCAGGTCAGTCTCTATCTTCAGAATGGAGCTGGGAGAAGAGGAGCACATTTCTATTCCCCCTTCAGGCTCTCTGGGCTTAGCTCCTCCACTTACTAAGTGCTTATGAAATGCTCGCTGAGCAAATAAACAAACAAACATTCCTGGACATGTTCACACATAGACATATTTCAATGTGAAAAGACAAAGGAAATGGACACCACACAAGCCCACTACAGTGTTTTATATGAGCGTAGGTAACAGAGACCAAAGTGTGCTGAGTGTTGGAGAGAATTAGGAGTGGGCAGAGCAGCCTTAACATGTGCTCTCAAGGTGTACTGAAGGCTAGGGGTGCCTGTTGCCTGTTCATGAGATGGTGTTCAGGCTACACTGCTGGTCCTGGGTGGAGATCAAGGTCTGCGTGGGGTCAGGCTTAGACAGTGTTCTTCCTTCTCCCTAGTCCCATGCCCATCATTTTGCTACCTTGTTCTTATTAATTCCTGCTGATCTATATAAACAGTTCTGGGAATATTTACATTACAGTTCTTCTATTTAACTGTGGATTTCACATGGACTAATTCCATTTTTTTCTTTCTGGCAACAAAATCTCTTTCCGCTGCAATACTGTCACATAGCAGGGCTAGAAGAAAGGCCCTCTGCCTCAAAGGCCACTGGGATAGGAAGTCCTGGGCCCACACTGTTCATCTGTCTTCAGAGTGAAGTGAGACCTGGTCAGCCAGAAGCACTCGGATGGCAAGCACAGCCCTGGGAGTGCTCCCCGCCCCCAACTCTCTTTCTAATAATTTTTCATTTATTTTTTTATTTTGAAGTACTGTAGATATCTTGATTGATTGTGTCAAACTCCTTGAGGGAATAAAACAGAAAAGAGGCTGGGGATATAGCTCAGTGGTAAAGCACGTGGTTAGCACGAGGCCCTGGGTTCAACCCCAGCACCGCAAAACCAACAAAGAAAAGGTAAATTTGTAAGGAAGTTCGGAGCTGCATCAAGGTATGACACACAAATCTTTGATAAAGAATCTTTGCACAGCACATTTGATCTAGCCTGGAGATAGGAGCAGGGAAAGGGTCTCCCAGGGGATGCTGGAGTCTGGCAGGTGATGGCTGGGCAGAGCGCTGGCCTCGGCATGCCACCTTCATGCAGCATGAGCACACAGGAAGTGCCTCACCGTGCCTTCTGCTACTTCACCTCTCTGGGCTCAGTTTCCTAATCTATAAAACAGGGATGATATCTGTCTCACAGCTTGTCAGGAAATACTAAATTTTAGGAGAATTAGACACATTGAATGCACTTTGAATGCCAGTTGCCACTTAAGCACCTGATGAATCTCACTTGCCACATTCCCGTTTTGCTCTATATATTATACTATTATTAATATTATAATAAACACTGCACCCATTCAGTCTCCTCCTCAATGGCTAGTCTGGATCATGAGGATCCATGTGCTCCCTTCAGAAAAACAGTGCCAACAGCCACTTGGGAATGTGTACAAACCCCAACAAATGTCAGATGGCTCACGGTGCTGGTGGAACTTATGGGTGTGGGGGCAATGAGTAATTCTGGTGGTGATGCCTGAGTGAGGAACTGACAGGAGCTAACCAAGTGCCCATGTGGCTTTCTCCACTCTGCCCGTGGCTTCAGGAGCCCTCAGGCCACACAAGTGTGAGCATGACATCTGAGCATGCTTGCCACCAACTCTGCTAATATCACACTTCTAATGAAACTGCACAGAACCATTTTCTTCTTTTGTTCACGTCTGTAAATTGCCTGCATGCAAATATAAATGTCCTGCCCTAAGAACAATGTTAGATTTTCACACAGGCACTGTCACTTTACCATTTTCCAATCCATGTCTCCAAATTAGTTCTTAGAGTTAATATTTTCTAAGAAACATGATTTCTATTTTAAAATATTTTATTATTTTTTATTTTATGTATACTAGTGTATTGCCTGCATGTATATGAGCGCACTCATGTTGTGCAATACCACGGAGGTCAGAAGAGGGCTTCAGATACCCCTGGAACTGGAGTTAAGGACGGTTCGTAGCCGCCATGTGGGTGCTGGGAATCAAACCCAGGTCCTCTGCAAGAGCGCTCAGGGCTCTTAACTACTGAGCCATCTTTCCAGACCCATGATTTCTATTTTAATTTAATTCCATTCCCTGGACGCTTTACCTCATTTTTGGCATTTCACATTTCTCTTTTATTTATTTATTTTTATTTTTACCAAAACTTTATTGAGAATTTCATACATGCGTATAAGGTGTTTTGATCAAATCCATGCCCACTCCCTCCCCTCCAACATTGCCCACTGAGCCATCTTTCCAGACCCATGATTTCTATTTTAATTTAATTCCATTCCCTGGACGCTTTACCTCATTTTTGGCATTTCACATTTCTCTTTTATTTATTTATTTTTATTTTTACCAAAACTTTATTGAGAATTTCATACATGCGTATAAGGTGTTTTGATCAAATCCATGCCCACTCCCTCCCCTCCAACATTGCCCACTCTGTAGAGGTAACCCTAAAATCTTTCAAGGATTAGATATAACCTCCCAAATACTTTTGACATTTAGGGCCTTTGGAACAGAATATGTTGCTAACAAGCCCAAGGACATTTTGACTTTTAGCCAAGAAACTGGCTACATTTCTTTGGGGTCTTTTTACCCTAACTGCCTAGCCAATCCCTACCTCCTATTCTTATCATGCCATCCTCTGAAGGGATTACCCAAATTGCCAATAGGAAATAGGGACGCAGACCACTCTGGCTTCTTCCATGCTGAACACGGATGAGGCAACTGGAGTACCCCTTCAGTGAGTTTATCTAAAAGACTCCCAAATTGCATAACTCTTGTCTGTAGGGGGAAAAGAAAGTCCTTGAATCATGAATAGGAGATGTGAAGGAGAAGTAAAGGCTAGAGTAATTAGCATTAGAAGTTCTAGACAGGGAACTAGAAAAAAGTCAGAACAGGGAAATTTTCAAATGTTCATATGACAGTCCATTGAAGTTTCTTGACAAGAGCTTCCAAAAGCATCCCTCTATTGGATTCTTCCTCATTTTTCTTTTTGTCTTCCAAGGCTGGACTAGTTGGCTGGGAAGAGTGGCTCAATACTCAGGCGAGGGTCCAGTGATCCTGCTTGGCCCTCCTTTAATGAATGAGCACAACCATCAACAAGCCCAATTGTGACTATGTTTAGCAATCAGGCTCATCCAAAGTCATGATGATGGTAGATATTTGATGCAGAAGGGACTGCTGTATAGCATCTTCTTATTAAAAGGACCTGAATTTAAAAGGATTTGGTGCTAGGAGCCACATATGAGGGAGAACATACGTCATTTGTTTTTCTGAGTCTCTGTTACTTCACTTAGTATAAAAGTTTCTAGATCCATCCATTTACCTGCAAATTTCATTATTTCATCTTTCTTTACTGCTGAATAGAACTCCATTGTGTAAATATACCACATTTTTGTTAACCACTCATTAGTTGAGGGACACTTAGGTTGCTTCCATCTCTTAGCTATTGTGAAAAAGGTAGCAACAAACATGGTTGTTCAAGTGTCTCTACAATAGGATGAGCCTTTGGGTATATGCCAAGGAGTGGTATAACCGGGTCATATGGTAGGTTCATTTTTAGTTTTTTAAGAGTTCTCCACGCTGTTTTTCATAGAGGCTGCATGAGTTTGCAATGCCACCAGCAGTGAATGAGTGTTCCCCTTTCTCCACATCCTCACCAGCATTTGGTATGATTTGTGTTCTTGATCCTAGCTAGTGTGATTAGGGTAAAGTGATACCTTAGGGTAGTTTTAATTTGCATTTCCCTAATTACTAATGATGT